TATATCCAAAAAAGGAAAAGATTTAAATGTCTTAGATCGTTTGTTGTGTGAAAGTTTAAATCCAACGTTTTTAAGCATATTTCAAATGCCTCACATTTGTTGTTAAAACGCAAAACTAAAATTTCATGCTATGGCTTTTATTAGTCATAGCTTTCATTCATGCTATGGCTTTTATTAGTAATTATATTAGTATGAGTAATTAGAGCGATTATTAAAACAACTGTATTTTTCAAAACAGTGACTCTAGAGGTATTTAACAAATCGCAATCGATTCTTTAAGGTTTCAATTTTAAAAATTTCAACATTTTATCAAAATTGTCATTAAAAGCCCATTTAGCTCATAAACATTTATTATAACTTTAATATTTTTTACGTCAGGCACAAAAGATGTTGAAAAGATGGTGAAAAAAAAAAACACAATCTTAAAAAACAAACCTTTTATGACCAGTACGAACTAAGATGGTAACTTTTTTATTTAAAAAAATCAAATTGCCATTGTTTATTAACATTAAGAGCTGAAAACTGAACAGATTCTAAATGAAGATCTAAATTTTATAATCCATTTTATAAAATACATATAACGAGAAGGAGTAAAAAGGTATAAATCATTAAAGTGATGGTACTAGTAAAATACTCGTCGAGAAGCTCGACGAAATATTAAGAACTATGCTATTTTCACCTGTCGGAAAAATAGGAAAACCCGGGAAAATTCCGGAAAAACCAATTAAATTTTCCATAAAAAATTTAATTTTACTATTATTTCCTAAGAAATATTTAAAATTTATTGACTAATTTATACCTATAATTTATATAAATATTTACTTTTCCGGAATTTTCCGATTTTTCCCAGGTAGTATTGTTTTCTAGAGTTTACCACAGTTTTAAAAAAATTAATGTTCTGCGTACCACAGAGAGATATTGCAAATTTTGCCAGCGCGCTTCAATTTGAAGTTACATTCTAAAAAAAAACGGATCTCGGAAAGTTCTCCCCTTCACGTTAACATGGCGGTATTTTACGAATACGAATAACTTTAACGGATTATAATTCCTTACACCTTCTCTATATATGCCATCTATAAATTGGATCACAAAATCTAGATCTTCACTACATTTCACAATAATTATTACAGTCAATATCTGTGTGTCACAATAATTCAGTTTGATTCAAATTCGAACATTGATTGTGTCATTTAGTCGTTTGATCAATTAAGTTTTGAAAAATGGAGGCTTCCCATCTGGAGCATCAAAAACAAAACGTGTTGTTTTGTCAATTGAAACATAAAATAGAAATTATTGCAGAACTAAAGAAAGGTGTTTCTGCTTTCGCATTGAGCAAAAAGTATGATGTTCCGAGAACACCAATCAATGATATTTAAAGAAAAATGCTGAAGGAATTAAAAAGTATGCTTCGCAAATGGAATCGTTGGATGACCAGGTAAAACATCGCAAGACAATGAAAAAAACCACAAATAAATCACTCGACACGGCTCTGTATTTGTGGTTCGTTCAAAAAGAAGCGGAGGTGTTCCTTGGTCTGGACCAATTTTTGCCGAAAAAGCGTTATTTTTCAACATGAAATTGAATGGCGATCCTTCATTCAAAGGAAGCAGCGTTTGGTTGGAAAAGTTCAAAAATCGCCACGGAACCGAAGAAAATCTGAAACTTTCAACTGGAAATCGGAAGTGAAAAATTGAGCGCCGCAAGTATTGAAGTCGTTGACGAATATAAAAGAAAGTTTCAAGCTAGGATCGATAAATAGCGTCGGTTCAGAAGTTTTTATGTTGGTATGTCACAATGGATGAAACATGACTTCACTGATCCATCACTTCACTCTGGAATCATATCCTGGTATTTTAGGACCCGCTAGGAATTATTTTCATTAACTAGTTAAAACATGGACAAATAACCAATAGCGACTACTTACGGGAGCCTTTGAAGCCCAAAACCGCCAAGAAAATGTACTGTGCCAATAATTTATGAAAATGATGTCAAAAATGCACGAATTGCCTTCCGCATTCACTGTATGGTCCAGACCTAGCCCCCAGTGACAACCACCTATTTTCCAAACTAAAAAATGCTCTGTGGTAATACATATCGTTCTGATGAGGAAATAGTCATTGAAAGAAGCAATGGAATGTTTGTATATCCACTAAAGGAGATTATTTTGATGAATAAAGAATAATTTTTACAAAAAAATGTTGTTTTACTATTTATGCCCAGGACTTATTGACACACGACATAGATTAAACTTCTGGCCCAAAAAAACAAGAACATTAATGGAATACGGAGTGAACCAAAGGGAGAAAAAAAGATTAAAAAAAAGGATTATACTTCAATACCAGCTGATATTATACAAAATTAAACTTCACAAGAACAAGGTACAAACAAAAAAACAACTCATTGTAACAACACATGGGAAAATCTATTAACAAACAAGCAAGATATAATGAAGCACTGAGTGGGGTATTTTAAACTATTATAAATATAATACCTATCAAACTTGATAATCTATAACTCAGTAACCACCTAACAGAGATAGAAAAATATGAATAAAATCAACAAGATAATCTACCAAGATTTGATGAAGTGCACCAGGCCTCAACAATATATCCCTCAGAGACAGACAAGAGTTTGGAATACCAAATTACTTGGTAAAATTAATAAAACTAAATGTCGAGTATGTAGAGGGTAAAATTAGTCAGGTGGAGACCAGTCTCATACAATCATAATTAATAATGGTAATGTGACACACTCTCTGACACTGTTTAATTTATCTCTTGAAAAAGTTGTAAGAATATCTGAAGTTAACACTAAATACACAATAATTAATAATCATGACATAGATATTATGTATTACTCCCCTATTAAAATTAAAAAACTATGGGACTTGTAATAAACAAAAACGAAATATGTGACAGTAACAGCAACTCTATGAAGAAATATTCACAACAGTATTATTTAATGAATTTTTGCATTATTCAATGACAAAAGTAGATAACACTTTTAGAATTAAAAATCTAAACAATAAATATTGTTGTTTGGGAATAAAAATTGATATGGATATTGACTGAAAATTTATCATTATTGACAGACGGACAAAATAAAAACAAACACTTCATATGAAGAACTAGTAACAATTGTACCTACTACTACATAGAGATGCAAATTTGAAAATAATTTACCATATAGCGAGATTTTAGAATGCCTAATGTATTTTATGACAAACAAAAGGAGTAACATTTGTTTTAGTATATGTTACTTTTTTAAAGGTTTCAAGACTATACTACAGATGAACCTTTGATACATTTGTTATGGGTTTTAAAGTAAATAAATGCTAGCTACGAATTTTACTTTTGTTAATATTTAGAGAATTCTGTTGGGTGTACAAATGCAGACTGGGTAAATGACAAAAACAGAAAATTAGTTAGTGGTTCTTGTTTTAAATATATAATAAATAATGAGGTTACCTGAAATCAATGTTTCCTGCTGAAAAGTTGATTTCAATGGCACAATAAAATCTAGTTCCAAATGTAATATTACTTATTGAACCTAAATCTCAGAAATACTACTTTTATATTAATAACTTCACAACTGTAGTCCTGTCACGTTTGTTAACAGAGTTTACATAGCAAATATTTGCTTCAGTGGCAAATATGCCTACCTTGGTGGTAGAAGCATGTCAAGTTATGTGTGGAGTGATAGCAGACAAGCTTTCACATAATTTGGCAAGAAAAAGGAAGCAAAGATGATGGTTTACAAGAGAGTAGATTCAACATAGAAGACATACTAATTGAATTAAAGACATCTCCTTAAGTTTTTGAAAAAATCACTTAGAATGTCAGAACAAAATTGGTTAATCCTTGTTATCACCAATATTCAAAAAAATCTACTAATATGAGAGAAGCTCTTTTGGTCAAACTAAAATTGCAAATAACGCTGCGATAGCTAGCTACTGGATAAATAAATTTATAAGAGAAGTTTTGGATACAGTTTTTGGTGCTCCTATAGTACTTATCCACTTAAGTAAAAACATAAAACATGTAGTATTACATAAACCTACATTCCGCTGCATTTTTTGCTTACTTTATTAAAAGCTACAAAATGTTTCATAGAGCGTCATTTACACAAATATGGCTAGCATTTGTGATACACTACCAATGCCAATGTGGCTTTTATTTTGTATTACAATTGAGCAACAAAAAAATTTTTGAGCGAGCTGGAAATTTAACAGATCTATATAAAGCTACTAGAAGAAGTGTACGAAATTTCAAATTAATTTAACACAAAGTAGAAAAACCAAAATAGTTGAAACAGGGCCGAAAAACACAAAAATTCACAATAAAGCACAAAAATAACTCTAATGAAGCTATTTTTGACAAACCACTGTTTCCTAACTTGATATTAACCCAAATTAGGCATTAATTTATATTTTATCAACATTGCTTAGTCATTTACCACTTGATTATAAAATTATGAAACACTTCTCATGAATTATCTCATATTGTAAATAAATATTTGTAATATTACATACAATTATTAACATAATAAATAATACTACACCTGGGTTAAAACATATATCTCAATTTGTATGTACTTAATGTACTGTTAGTTTCTTAGATTAAAATGAAATACCTAAACCTCCAAAAAATATTGTAAAACATTGAAAGATATGAGGTAATTGTTTTTAGGTATCAAAACTACTTGCTGATTCATATAATATGAATTGATATTGACATTGACATGAAACATTGATATAATATTATGACATTATTAATCTACGATCTAATGAAATGTAAGTTCTATTTCTATCAGTAGTCTTCTAATAAAACATTATTAATAATAGCTCATCCTGTCAGATTCAAAATACAGGAATAAGGGAAATATGATGTCAGTTGTTTTAACCCAAGCGTACCTTTGATCAACAGATCAACTTTTATTGCAAATTATACCATAAATAAATTGCTGATAGAAGCTGATTAATGATATTTGCTTTTACTTACCACATCCGTAGACGAACAATCAAGCCCTTTGTTCTTTAACTTATTGTACATAGAAGGAATGAGATTTAGTTGAGAATCAGTTTTGAATTCATTTTCTGCCCATTTACAAAGAGATGCTCGTAATTTTTTCGATACTGTAGGGTGGGCCTTATTCATTAATTTAGAAAAATCATTTTCAAATTCCCTAGAAGCTACTTCTATGTGGAATACTTTTCCTGAATTCTTTACACAAGCATCTAGTAACTGAAATGATGTAAATTTGTTTAGAAAGTATATTGACTGTTGTTGTTTTTTTTGTAACATATCAAATGAATCATGAAGAATTTGTTTAGTTATAATATTTACCGTCACAGCTTTTACTCCAACGTGTGGATCTTCATGATACAATCGTTTTATAATTGCTCTAAAATAAGCTTTTGCACTATCTGACGTTTGTCCAGCTTTATCACAAATGGTCATAATAAGACCCCAATCTTCATCATTTTTTTCCGTAGTTGCAGTTTCTACGACAAAACATTATTATAATGATGTTGTCAACAAGCTTTGTTAAAATCAATGATAAACACAAATATGACTCACCAATTTCTTCTGTGATTGCTGCATCAGCTGTGGTACCAAATATACCCATTTTGCTTTAACTATTTTTATTAAACTCTTAAATTTTGTTCGCTATTGCTCTAAATATGATTTAAACGTTTACACGAATGAATTAATCAACATAACTACGAAATAATCTAAGTTTTGCAAGGATAATGTATTTTTATGATGTTATCAGAATGAAAATGACATTTAACATTAAATTTGGACACTTGTGACGTTTTGACATATCATTTTGACGTCTTCCAGCTGAAGCGAAATCTATCTTCATTATATATTAATACAACTAGTTCAATATAGATGGTGCATAAAATATTTGATTTTTGGAATTTTTTAGAAGAAAAAATTTAAAATTTATTTTTGGTAATTAATAATTATCCTGTAACTATTAATTCTAAATCTAAACAGATGCTAATAAAGGTGCCATTCATAGCAATAAAGCTTAGTTTAATTAAAAAACGACAATTCATTTACTGATTTATTACTGAGCTACAATGTATCCCATTTTAATTTTAAAATATTATTTTGAGAATGAAACAAAATTTTTTTGGTGCTCTAACAAATGAAGTTTTTACATAAGGCACACCTGATCCTAATTTTCGGTTAGATAACCTTGGGGAGATTTAACTTATTTACTGGACTTTCCTTTGACATGAGTACAGTTTATAGTATATTGCAAATAGTTATAGCATATTATGTGCTGTACAAATAGTCTTTCGGAGTTCAGTCCCCAAATTTGGTATATTTAGGCAGTTCAATATACGGAGCCTCATAAACTCTAACACCAGGTTCTTCAAATTTCCTCGTTGATGACTTGATATTTCTTCATTTGGGACACAGCTGACTCATAAAAGAATTATACCATTCATTCAAATGATTCAAAAGAAAAAAAACTGATCATGGCAATCGTAACCCATGATCCGGAAGAGGAGGAACAGACAAGGACTCCCAGGTCGTTAACCGATGAAACCTTTGTCAAACATCGAAACAAGACAAAGTAAAATTATCAAAAGCAAAAAAGGGACGTGGAACGTCAAAAGCATGTATCAACCTGACAAAATGCATAATATACTTAAAGAAATGGGAATAATGAATATAAATATATTAGGTATAAGCGAAACATGGTGGCCTGACTCAGGATACCTTTCGACAGAAACCGGTACCTTATATAAGTCAAACATTGAAAACCAGCATAACCGTGGAGTACCTAGCAATTATTGTCGATACAGAGGTTAACAAGTCAATAAAGGGTTTTGTCGTAATCTCAGAATTTTGATCCAAGTATATGCGCCAACGACAGAGAACAAGGAAACCATGGTAGTTATGGGCGATTTCAATGCAAAAGTCGGCAAGGGAAGAGCTGGAACAATAATGGGAGATCAAGAACTAGGGGAACGTAACGATAGAGAAGATCGTCTATTCTGTACAATTCTGCCAAGAACAAATTCTAATAATCACAAACACGTTCTTTAAATTACCTATGAGACGGTTATATACATGGTGCTCACTAGCAGATAAACCGGAAAAAGTGGTAAGAAACCAAATCGATTATATAATAAAGAAAGAGAGATATCGTAACACACTCAAATCAGTTAAAACATATCCAGGAGCAGATGTCACATCAGACAACTTTGATAAATTAGATACTAACACCTACGAGATAAACGAACAATGGGAAACATTAAAAAACTGCCTCCTCGTTTCATGCAAAGAGATATTGAAAGAACCGATAAGAAAGAGAGACAACTGACCGACGAAATATTCGACAGGATGGACCAAAGAAGACAAGCCAATAACAAAGTCAGTCATAATTACAAAATCATTAACAATGAAATTAAAAAATGATAAGAGAGGCAAAACAAACTTACTAAGAAGAAAAATGTAAAGAGATATAAGTTCTTCCGAACAAATACGACCTATTCAACCTACATAAAAAGGTTAAAGAAACGAGCTCTTCGACGACGAAAGACGAAACTTACAAGATATATCTTCGAGGACAAAGAAACAAGTATAGAAATTACAAATGAAGAAATATTGAATGCACTAGAGAATACCAAAAACCGAAAAAGCCCGGGGCCAGATCAACTGTCTATTGATATCCTTAAAATAATAGAAAACGAGTACATAGATATCCTCTTAAAGGTCTTTAAAAAAAATTATCAGTCGGGTGACATGCCCAATGAATAGTTGACCTCAACATTTATTTGTCTCCAAAAAAAAATGCTAGAGAATGCATCGACTATCGCACCATAACCCTGATGTCTCACATTACCAAATACTTGATACCCGTGAAGCTCTCTTTACATTCAACGTACTAATCCAGAGATGCTTGGATGTAAACCAAGACATGTACGTCTGTTTCACAGATTACAACAAGGTTTTCGATAAAGTCCGCCCCAAAGAGCTAATGGACGTCCTCAAAGCAAAACAATTACAATAAAATAACCTTCGAATTATAACAAATCTATATTATAAACAGCAGGCACACATACTCATTAATGAACACACATCAGAAGAGTTCGAACTTAAAAGAGATGTGCGACAGGTGTGGGTAGTGTCACCACTACTATTCAATGCATACTTTGAAGAAATTATGAAAAGAGCTATCGAGGGAGAAACAGCAGGAATAAAGGTCAATGGAACACCAATTAACAACATTAGATATGCGGAATAATGGAGCAGACAACCTCCAAGACCCCCAAAAGCTGATGAACAAGATAGTTGAGTATGGAGAAGAATATAGATTATATCAATAAACATCAAAAAAAAAAAATTATGAGGATATCAAAAACTCAAAATAATGATGAAAGCCTGATAATTAATGGTAAAACTTTAGAACAAGTTTAAAACTACAATTATCTTGCGACAATAAATAATCACACAAATGATTACTCCAAAGAATTCAAAGTTCGAATAGAGAAAGCACGAACAAACTTTAATAAAATGAGAAAGGTACTTTGTGCAAGAGAACTGAAATTAGACTTTAGAGTTAAGCTGGTAAGGTGTTATATTTTCTCGACTCTGCTTTACGGGATAGAAGCATAGACACTTAACGCATCGACAACTAAAAAGTTGGAAGCATTTAAACTGTGGGTGTATAGAAGAATCCTAAAGATATCATGGTCCGAGCATGTAACAAACAACGAAGTCATGAGAAGAGTCAACAAAAGAATGGAAATATTGGAAACCATTAAGACATGAAAGCTGTAATACCTGGGGCATATTATACGTAATGAAAGATACAACATACTTCAATTAATTATACAAGGGAAAATCCAGGGCAAGAGAAGTGTAGGAAGAAGAAGAATCTCATGGTTGCGTAACTTGAGGGAATGGTACGGATGCACATCAATCGAACTATTTAGAGCGGCAGCATCTAAGATCAGAATAGCCATGATGATTGCCAACCTCCGTCGCGAAGATGGCACGTAAAGAAGAAAAAGGAATGGACACTGTCTAGCCAGTTATTGAGTCCGTTGTCCGTTGTCCGTTGTCACATTACTATTTGTGTCTTATATTATATCAGTGGTGAGTTTTTCACAATGGTCTTGTGCAACTGTAACATTATCTGGTGTTGAGCCTTTGCCCATATTCGTTTATTGTCTAATGTAGGTAGCTACAAAATTTGACACATACAATACTCAAATATCCAGTGTTCGCAATGCATTTAGTGGTTACGCGTTAAAACCATAGCATTTATCAAAAGTAGAGCGGCACTAAACTTTCAGGGACGTAGGAACAGAATTATAGCAGAGAAATATAGAAATTATAGAGAGCCATCGAAAAAATCGTAATTTAGTATGTTGTGGATTTTACGTTTAAATGTCGATGACAGTGCGTGACAATATTATGTCATTGTGGTTGTCAATATAAACGTTATTTACAGAGAATGATTTACAGTTTTTATTAAAAATTGGTAAACACATATGTTACGTATATGTTAGTCTGCGTAAGTGGCTAAAATCGAGTTTTATTCCATATGCCACTCTAATTACATTTTTTTTCGATGGCTCTATATTATGCAGTCGTGTATAAAATCTTTATTTATTATTTAAGTTACACATTATATAATCTAAAAAAATAATACCGATATTAAAACGTTCTAATATTGGCAGTCTTTAAACCCTCCCTAATATTTTTGATGATCCTTTTGACCATTTCTGCTCCTGTGTTTTCTCCTCCAATATCAGGCGTGTGGATCTTTTCGTCTACTAGAGTTTTATATATCGCTTCACAAATCAAAAGTGCGTGTTGTTCTTTTTGTAAATAGAACAACATATTGACTGCTGCGTTTATCATGGCAATAGGATTTACGTACCTCTTATCTAAAATCAATATATACATTTGTTAATATTACGTGAAAAATCTAACAAAAAATAACAAAATATTAGGTCTTAATGAATGACATTAATCATTAATGAACCAGCTGTACACAACAACCACAAATCTTTTCAGAGCAGCAGTTTGAAAAATACAGATTGACAGGATGATCGCCAACATTCGAAACTAGGATAGGCACTACAAGAAGAAGTCTTAGTTTCTCCCCACCGAGGCGACCTGTATCCTGATATGGAGGTCACTCGTAATCATGATATAGAACCACCTTGTTATTTAAAATTTGAGTGAGTACTTTTCCCTCTATTCTCAGCCGATTCAAGTGATGTTACTTTCATTAAACATCCAAGTAGAGCGTCATTCCGATATGGAATCCAAAATCTCTAGTAGTAACTGGAAATTTACAAAGGGTCCAGAAAATATTTTAGTGTCGTCTGGACTTAATATGAAATTGGAAATCACAAGAGTATGCTATGAATATAAGTGGACCCATAACTGATCATTGTCGTACTCAAATCAAATCTGTTCTCCCGACTAAGAAACAGTCCCCACCCTAACACCGCTATTTGATAACAATAAATAGTAATACAATATTTACCTTCAAATGCTAAATGTCTGGAAGCTACTTCGAATACTGCCGAATTATTTCCATAATTTTGACCGGATATTAACCCAGGTCCTCCGATCAAGCCGCAAATTATACTCGTCAGAATATTTCCATATAGATTCGGCGTTACAATGACATCAAACATACCTGGATTAGAGACTATTTGCATGCAGCAATTATCGACAATTAGGTCGTTTACTATTATATCTGGATAATCCTTCGATATTTCCAGCAATGTGTTAAGAAATAAACCATCGGATAGTTTCCTAAAATAGTGTTAAATTAATCATTCTGTAAGGAGGCCCTAACTAATATATTTCACAGTCAAGGAATACACGGAAATTTTACGTCACCACTTATGCCAAAATCACACATATATCTGGTGATTAATAAAATAAACAGTTGTTACACTCACATGATGTTGGCTTTGTGAACAATGGTCACTTTTTTTCTTCCATTTTTTGATGCGAATTCAAAAGCCCACCTACCAAACCTTTCACTATTTTCTCGTGTGATTATCTTTAAGCTTTCCACGATACCAGGTTTTGACTCGTGTTCCAGCATCGCGTACTCGCCTTCGGTATTCTGCCTGAGAAGATAAATGTCCAGTGCTGGAAATCTACAATATCAAAATAATTACATGACTAAAAAAAACATCAAAATGGAAATTAAATTTTACTGTTAACTTTGATATCAACCAAAGAGCAATACTCAAAGCATAAGACTACCAATTACGTATACAAAATTATATCCGAAGCTCAGTAGCACACCCAGGGGGGATTTAAGGATTAACCCTCACCCCAGGTCACTATTCCGACACAGTTACTCACACCTTTTAATGACTCGAAATGGAGGTAGCATAAAAAAATTCGGTGCCCAAAAAAATCCCCTACCCCCCCACACAGGAAAATTGTGAGTGCGCCACTGCTGAAGCTGTAAGTTGATAAAACATTTACCTGCATCGTACATTAGGATAACTTGTACAATGTACTAAATATACGAATAAATCCAGTTGAGCTCGTAGATTAACGTTGGATGAAGTATCAGCCAAAGATGGAATATGTCCCTAAAAAAATAACGTTATTAAATCAATTATTTTATCAAAAATATTTTTTAATATCGAAATAGCAGGTAGGTATATTCATTGATCAATCAGAAGTGGACGAGGAGGTAGGAGGTGCAGTTTCAGGAAATGATTACTTTTAGGCATAGGCGTGTTTAGGATTTTTTCGTGTGGGTGTACAGGCCGAAGTAAGGCCCCCCTAAACTTAGTCAATGATTTTTTTTTCAAGTCATTGACTTGATAATCCGTTTTTTATTTTCATAATAATAAGTAACGTTATCACCCATCTTTTTTCATGTTAATTTTCTTTTGACTAATATTATAAAATTTTATTGTAGTTAATAAATTAAAGAGTATAGATAAAAATTAAAATCCGTCTAAAATAAGTTCATAAATATAAACTGTTATTTTATTCATAAGTATTAAAGTATCTTCAAACATGACAATAAAACAAAATCATAATCCTGAATAATAATGAACTATAATGACATTGTTTCTGTTGAAAGGTATCACTTTTTTTGAATTTATCTACAACTAAATCAAAAATAGTCCAGTCGTCAGAGATTTGATCCCTAAAAATCATACAAACACGCTGAATTTTGCCGAGAATATCAATTTTGGAACCCCAAAAAAAGATGCAAAAAAGATTACCACTTTTACTCCCAGTCTTCCCCTAAGCCCCGCTAACCCCAGCAGGGGGGCAAAAAAGCAAAAAATCGATTTATTAGGAAATTTAATACGGTAGAAAAAAAAAGGTTTCAAATCAATCGCAAAATGTGTTGATAAGCGCATAACTCAACAACGCATGGACCAATCTTAACAATTATTTTTTTAAAATGTTCCCTAAAGTCTAAGGATGATTTTTACGGCATGAAAAATTCGAATAATTTCCGGAAAACCCCTAAAACCGCTCTTTTCTTATATTCATACAAATATTTTCTAATTAAGCGTAGAGTCAATTTGAACTTTATTGCTACTCAGTAAAGTTTATATTAAATTACAAGCACTCACTGTTTATTGTCGCTGCACAAAGTTTCAATTCAATCAAATGTATGCGTGTGCGCGTTCGTGTGTGTGCGCGTTCATGTGTGTGCGTGTTCGCATTGGAGGATCTAATGCGTTCATACAAAAGTGATAATATCGTGAACCCGACCAAATTGAAAAATCAAAAAATGTAAGAGCTATAGATTTGATTGGCCTCGTAATATTCTTTTTTTTTTGTTTTATTTTCGGAACGCGACTTAAATTGTCAAATAAACCGATGTTTGTTTTCAGAAGGTATATCCATATGTTGCTCAAAATTATAGAAACCATGATTATTTGAGCGAACGGGCTATATTAGCTGCAAAAAAACATAGATGTAAATGAATTAAATTTCAAAATTCAAGAAAAAATTACTGGCGAATTTATGATATATAAATCAGTTGATTCGGCTACTAAACTAAGATGATGTAGTCAACTACTATCCGCCTGAATTTTTAAACTCGCTGGATTTACCAGGATTGTCTTCTCACAATCTTCAATTAAAGGTTGGATCGGTAGTTATAATGTTGAGAAATATTAACCAACCGCGTCTTTGCAACGGCACACGGTTAGTGATAAGCAACTATACTGAAAGGAAAGTATAAAGGAGAAGATGTTTTGATACCAAGCATTTCACTGATTCCGACTGATATACCATTTGAATTTAAACGACTACAGTGTCCAGTGCGGCTTGCTTTTGCTATGACCATAAATAGGTCACGGGCAATCATTAGGTGTTTGTGGTATTAATCTAGAAAACCCATTTTTCTCACATGGTCAATTGTATGTTGCCTGTTCCCGTGTTGGACAACCATCCGATTTGTTTGTATATTCACCAAGTAATTAAACAAATAACATTGTATATCATAAAGTACTACACTAAAAATAAAACAGATTGTTGTTAATAATTATGATTCACTTGCTTTACAATACAGAGATTACTGAAAATACTTATATACGTTTTATTTTATTATTCTTTATTACATCTATCGGTTATTAACCCTATGTTAATAATAATAATAATAAATTAATTATCTCTATGTTTTGTCATTGAAGCACCCACTTTATAAATATTTGTCACCTTTAGGTTTTCACTATCCCTTTAGATTATTTTTCAATCAGGTTTGAACCTTAAGTTCCCCTCTCAGTTTGAAGCCCTTTAGCAGACATCCCAGTCGGGTTTTTTAGTGGGTCCAAAAGAGTGGTCAAAGTTCGTCGAGGCGAAGATACTTAGGTCACACCTTAGGTCACCATCATCATGGTGACGGTACTGCTCAGGAGAATTAAAGAAATAAACTGCTACATTCCAAATCTATTTGACAGAACGAAGTTTGTCGGGTCCGCTAGTTTTGAATAAAAATGTTAATTAGTACTTTTTTATGAAGAATAAACCGTTCTCTTAGAAACAACGCTTGAAGTGACCGACGGTTTTAATTATCAGATGCGCGTATTGTAACGATGTTCTCATCGTTTAACAGTTTGAACCGCGGGAGTGTCAATGTTTGCGCATCCACTTCCTCAGCGAGATGGCGAAGTGGGATTCGGGGCGGCTATTTAAGGCATGTGAGTAGCGGAATTAGTCAGTCTTGTAGGCTCCCCGACTCGCAACTGCATTGAACCTACGAGACAACCCGTACAGAGAGATTTCCGTATTGAGGATCATACTCTATCCTTAACTAAGCAGAACTCATCGGTATTGTGTATTGAACATTGCCGTGGGCCTGCACAGCCGAATATTTTTGTTTGCGAGTGCGTTTGGAGCTTCCGCTGTATTGAAGCGGAAGCGAGTATAAGTCTGCGTGCGATCGAATTCACATATTTTATTTGTTTTTTATTAATAATAACTTTTTCTTTCTTTTATAGACATTCGCCGGGGAATTCCTTCATCGCGGGATCCAGACGGGGATGTAAGATTCGTTTTATTTTTATTTATTGTATATACGGCGGAGAATTCATTTTATTTTTATTTTTATTGTACATACGTTAAATTAATAGATATATTTTTATTTCAACCTGTGTTTTACTGAGTCTGTCGTCCCGAAAGAGCTACCCGTTACAGTATGAAATCAATGTTAAATTATATAATTAAAATTTTTTTTTATAAATTAATTTTTATTACTTTTATAATTATACATATAATATAAATTTTTATCAACTCGACGGTAAAAATTTGATATCCTTTAATCAGAGCTAGAGAGAAGAATAAGAAGATAAATATACATTTTTTCTTACTTTTATAGCAACTCCGTTTCTTCTGATGGATAGTAAAGCAATTTCGTCAGATTCATCTACTACTTCAAAATCTATAGGAACGTACGCAGCTTCAAAAATTTCTTTGACATATTCCATCATTTGAGGACCTGATCCTATACCTAAAAGATATATTATAAATGTCCAGATTAACTCAAAAATAGCAGAGATATGCCCAAAATTATACCACGTCTAGATATACCTAACAAAAAAACCAACATGTACTTTTGGTGGTAAAGTTCGAACGAAATCTGGGTTTTAGTTATTTTGTGTATTAAGTTATGGACAATGTTTATTTTAGTACCAGTTTTTTACCGTTGTCCAAAATCAGTTGTTTTGCCATTAAACAACCATTGTGTATGTAAACTAATGCTTCTAGATCGTACTGAGAAATTGTATTATGCTTGACCAGTATTTCCACTTATATATAATCAATATCAGAATCATCATCACCTTTTCATTGTTTATTATCTTTCCAATACGATTGCAAAATTCTCGTCTAACATTAGCCAGAACGCGTGGCGTTATTTTTGCACATTCTTCATTAAATTGCATTTTTAATTTTTCAATATCTTTATTCCTTAACATCCCGCTTATTGTATAAACGGCACCCATCCATTTGAAATGGATGGGTGCAAAAACTTTTCTGAATTTAAACTTCCTCATAAAAAATGGTAAAAATATTTAATGGGGGCAAGTTGATACAAGGGTCTAGGAACATTGATGTGGTCTAACATCTTGTTCTTTTCTGCTAAACTGCTTAATTTTTGTAAAGAAAATGGTATCGTTATGTCGTCCTTCCCCCCTCACGTTTCTCTTCTCCAGCAACCTCTTGACCTGTTAAACCATTTTATTTTGCTTTAGTTGATGATAGGATGACGAACAATCCAGGTAAAACAGTGACAATTTATGATATTCATGGCATCATGAAATTGGCAATACCTAAAGCAATAAATCCTACGTATATTATTTTTGGAGTCTGGAGTGACGCTCCTCTGTCACTCCAGACATCAGAATAGAAGGGCTGGTTAAGCCAGAATGGCATCTCTCTTGATGCCCTACTACCATCCGATTCCCATTCTTTCTTCCACACATTCATCGGAAAAATCACACCCACCCAAACCACCAAAGAGTTTCAACTCCCTGCCTTAGCGAGGCTGCCATCGCTCTTGCGTCGTCTGTCTCTCATTCGCTCCTATTTCGGCCTGCAACAGTCCGAACCTCATCGAGGTGCTATTCGCTAGTTTCAAAATTCTGTTGCGAGTTCCCTCTCCTCTCAATTTTTTTGAAGAGAACAGCTTCACCAGATTTTCTCCACCATTTCTCTCACAGAATCAAACATTCTGCAGTTACACTCTTTTTCAAACTTCTCTCTTTCATCCGCCCAACGCCCCACAGTACTTCTCTCAACCTGTCCCCAGCTAATATCAACTTGCCCGCTTGTGGGGAACATTGATACATTTTCTAACATTATACAAAAATGTCAATTTTGGGAAAAGTATTAATTGAATCAAAAATTTAATATCTTAAAAAAATTTGCAACATAGAAAATATCATATCGCAACACTTTTAATAAAAAAAAATCTAAACTAAAATTGTAAAAATTAAAATATGAAATTTGTCTCAACTTGCCCCGCTCTCCCTTACATTAAATAATCACATATCACGAGACAGAGATTTATGCTAAATAAATAAATAATATTTAAATGGTATCACTAGTAGAAAGATAAAAGAAAGTCACGTTTCTTGCACAATTTCTCGTATGTTTATCCTACGCTTCATCTAAGTTTCCTATCTGGTCTATTATCTGGTATTCCATTAAATGTATGCGTGATTTTTATCTTAAATGTGATTGTCTTTTTATCTTTTAAATATTGACGTCTGGTATACATGTGTTTACATTGTGTAGCGCTAGAGGATGACACATGAAATATTTAAAGTGGTTATTAGAATTAATTAAAACATTAATCAATATTTGTGTTGCTACAGGTGTCATTGATATATAGTACAAGACCAAATTCAATATTTGATTATAGTTTGATTGGATATACTTTGTGTAAACCACAAGGCACAAACTAGACGAGAATTAACTGAAAATAGACTGAACTATTACAAGTAGTCCAGAACAAGGTTCCTTGACAAGATCGATGAAGACATGAGAAATATGGGAATGTGCTTGGCGGAGGAAGGTGATGGAAAGGGACGACTGGAGAGAAATTCTTGAGGAGGCTAGAACTCGCGCAGGGTTGTAAAGCCAGAATGATGATGATAACAACTAGTGGACAAGATGTGTGCACACTAAATACACCAGAGGTTAATCGGACTCGAGATCTACTTGTCTGCCTGTCTAATTCTTTGCCATCTACCGACTAGGAATTTTTTAGCGATACTGGCGAGCAATAAAACTTTTAATCCAGAATTTCAACGTTAAAAGTGAACTGAATATCTCACAGTCGCTCACTATATCTCAGAAAATCAATCACTGATTCTCTTCTTCTTTTTATGTAGACATGACTTTGTTTTTCAATGTACCTCCAGTAAGTTGTCGTTCCATCGTTTTCGTGGTCTTCCTACTGATCGTCTTCCTATTGGGGAACCGTCTCTTGACGTCTTTACCACTTTATTTGTTGTCATTCGGTTTATATGATCGTTCCATTCTACTCTTCTATTTCTTCCATTCCATCCAAGAAGAAAATTCAGGTCTCGAAATCCGACCAGAAGAAATAACGGCAGCCGTCAGACAAATGAAGGCTGGAAAAGCACCGGGACTTAATGAAATTCCTGTAGAACTGCTAAAGCTATTAGATGCAGAACAAATAAAAATAATACCTAAAATATTTAATGAAATATATAAGGCAGGAAAAATAGCAGTAGAGTGGCTCAAATGGGAGTTCGTACCATTGCACAAAAAACCAGGAGCAAAAGTTTGTGAAGACTATAGGACCATAAGCCTAATGAGCCATCTATTGAAGCTGTTTTTAAAAGTCATCCACAAAAGAATTTACCGGAAATGCGAGGATCAAATTACGACCAATCAGTTTGGATTTGCACAGGAAGTCTTATTTAGCGTACAGGTATTGTTGTAGAAATGTAGAGATGTCAGCTGTGATGTTTTTGCATGTACGATTGACTACAAGGCTTTCGATAGAGTCAGGCATGAACAAATGATGGAAGTGCTGAAGAGGACAGGGGTTGACGGAAGAGACTTAAAAATAATAGCTAACCTGTAATGGAATCAATCAGCGGTGCTCCGAATAGATGGAGAATATACAGGGAAGTGAGACAGGGGTGCACAATTTCACCACTGATATTCAATCTGTACTCATGCTGCTTTGAAAAAAATTTTGTTTGAGTGTTTTACGTTTGTATGTTTTTCTAAATTGAGAGAGTCGCAATAACGAAAATTTTAACAGTAATCTATCCTCAAGGTGAAAATTATTGCCATGTATACATAGTAAAAATAAAAGAACAATTTAAAACGAATCCACAGACACAACATCACCATCAAAAACCAATAAGTGAGATAAAAACACTTACCTGGTAGCATTGTCACAATTCTCCTTCCCCCATGTGTATTTTCTGGTGGTGGTGACAAGGTACTCCATATAGGAACTTGTTTGTTCTTAACTAATCCCGCGAAAGTATCAGCTGCCGTTGCCAAATGCCTCGATAACACCAAATTTCCGAAATGTTTGGCTAATTTGTTCATGTTTTGCTACACGTACTTTGTTCGTTTCAGTGTCACACTGACATAATTTAATGTTTTGGAAATTTAAAGCAAATTATTATTTAAGTTAGATAAATAAGTATTAATAATAGTTATCACCGCTGAGTTATAACAAACTAATAATTGGAGTCCAGGGACGGTCTCAAAATTAAAATTATTTATATTTGTTTGTAAGAATACTTTCTGAATTATATTCCTAAACAAAAACCTGAACCATAATGAGTAATAAAGTAATAAAGAGTGAGAAAGCAATTCAAAATTGATTTCCTTCTCCTGGAAGTTGCAAAATCATTTTTATAAATATTCTTTAATTTCTTAAAACACAATAATAGAGTGCCTCGTCATAGATAAATAATATAATATTAGAAAGTGCCTGGTGTTTATGACAGTTTTTAAGCAAAATATAAACATTTAATTAATTTATTTTGACAGTTACATCAGTGTATGTCACTTAGATATAAAAATATTACCATAGAAACCACTGTAAAACATCCAGATGATCTAGATAATACATAATTATGTACTTTAACATTTTCCATATTTGGAAAACTTATTTACAAGCATTTTGTAACATAAATCCTTATCTACAACATAGAGCAAAAAGACAAAAGCAGGAATCTAATCGTTATGAAAAGGAGACCAAAATTCATAAAAGTGGTCTCTTAATATGGCGGACATATCCGGGAATTCAAAAGCGCCAAATTTAAATTTTACGACACTTCACCATAATCATACAGTGGTGTAGGGGTTTTAATTTATCAAATGGAATTAGTATAAAGTTTGAAAATTTAAATGTAATGATTGTTTTAATTAGGAAAATATTTCATGTTTTTTTATAAGGTCATAAAACAGTACCTATAAGATATTTGTCAGAATGAGTTTTAGACGAGAAAGTTTTAATTAAATAATAACGAGATTAGTCTAAAATGTGACCCAAGTGTTAAAAAACTTTAATATAAAATAAGCTTTCATGTGACAGTTGGGAACAACAATAACATAACCCAACTAAATAGGATTTCCTTGTTTAATGTGGCCTCTCAAAATGGCACTTCCCGTCTAACAATATATTTGCCCCCACTACCTTTACATCCCCTCTTCTGCCTTTTTGCCCGATGGTCGACAACTATCTGAACAGGCGAAGTTCGTACCGCCTTAGAATTAAAAGTTCAAATTAACAAAAAACCAATGGAAAATACTCCCAAATATTATGTAAGAAAAAAGTTAAATAAATTTAATGCATTCTAATACACAATATTTTTGTTTTTTTTGCGGTGCGTAAATATACGACGATGACGAATTGAATTAGGTTGAAATGCCAGTTGGTAGTTCAGATTTCTTTCCTAGGATTAATTACTATTTAACTGGGAATAAGCCACAATTAAAGATAAAAATACGTTTATTGACGTTTCAATTTCCACTTCGGAAATCGTTCTCGATTTTCGAAGTGGAAATTGAAACGTCAATAACGTATTTTTATCTTTAATTGTGGCTTATTCCCAGTTAAATAGTAATTAATTTAAAATACCATAAGAAAATAGCTTCTTTCCTAGGAGTTATCGTCCCAGAAAAACTGCGTATAGAGAATAGAAAAAAAATGAGAGACCTACAGAGTAGTGAGTAGTGCAATGTGACATTTGGTTTAATTCTTCTTCTTTTTCGTATGTCATCTGTCAACGTCAATTCTTCTTTTTGTCTGTCATCTGTCAATATCAATTCTTTTTATTCTTCTGACATCTGTCAACGTCAAGTCTTCTTCTTTATCGTCTTTCAAATTATCTGTCAATTCTTCTTTTCCGTCTGTCAAGTTTTCTTTCGGCTGTCACTGTCAACGTCAAGTCTTCTTCGTCTTTCTAGTTATCTGTCAATTCTTATTTTTCATCTATCAAATTTTCTTCTTTTTCGTCTGTCAAGTTATATGCCAATTTTTGACATTTCTCGTTTTTAATACCCATTTGTAGCTTTAATTACACAGTTTCTACAAGTAACACAATGCAGAGGAATGACTTTTTAGATCAAAAGATATGTGTTTGAAAAAACCCTGTACAGGGAAAGAAATTGACATGCCCAACCCAAATAGTGGAAAACGATAATAAGTCCAGGTAATCCTAAACTAGAAAAAGAAAACTAGAATTATATTGTAAAACGTTTTTTAAGATAATCGTTCATTTGATACTTTTTGCATTAAAAATATATTTGCTCTATTTCTGTTTTATTTTTTTTTTAATAGACAGCCAATGATTTTATAGGGAAATAACGTACCTAATAAATCCTTCTTTACAAGAGAAGATTTTGTTAAGGCCATGTAGATAAATTAAAAACAATTAATATCATTAATATGCAATATAAATTAAAAAAAACTAAAACGTAAACCACCAACCAATATAGCAAATTTTTATCTTTTTATTACTGATTAATTGTAAGATGTATTTTAACATAATAACAGGTTTTAAACTTTAAAAATAACCCCCTCTGTGGCTCAGTGGTAAGCGCCTACCTTTAAACCTAAAGGTCGTGAGTTCGAATCTCACCTGGGTGGAGAAATTTGCGTTTATTAAAAATTAACAAATGAAAATAATTTCTATCTTTGTGCGATCGGTAATTACCGGAGGGACCGCAGACGTTCGAATACAATTAGCGTCTCTTAGCAAAGACAATGACGTCGACTTTGCTAAGTATCAAAACAATTACTCTACACACACACACACACACACACACACACACACACACACACACACACACACACACACACACACACACTACACTAGGTACCTGACTGTACCATGCCAATGATCTTAGTTGTCGAGGCATTAACTCAATAATAATAATAAAAAAAAAAAACTTTTAAAATGTTCTAATGAACAAAACCACATGTGACTTCAAGCTGTTTTCCTGTGTAAGTGAGAATTAGCACCAAGAAACCAAAGGCTCTTAAAGATGCCAATAAAGATGTGGGATAACATAACCTCTATCCTAACTAAAAAAGGTATCATCAAAAACCAAGCAAGTACTAGCAGCCGGAATGTGACAAATGTGAAATGTTATCGCAAACAATTAGGATGCCAAGGTAGAGAAATAGTGTCTAATCTATATAATTATTTGAGAAACACGCATATCTCGAATGGAAGCACTAAACAATTTAGAAATTGCAACAGGGGAATTGTCCAAAAAGAATACTTGGGTGAAGTTCAGACTCCACAAACACATTTACGGAGTCGTCAACCAATCAATTTACAGAACGCAGTACAAATATATTTATTCTTTTGATGATGATGGGATAATTCTCCAAATTAGTAGTGAAATTTTGCATAAGTGAATGAGGTATTTTCTAAACTAGAACGCTCAATATATTGTCTTTAGAATTATAAAGAGAAATATAATATTCTGTTGTTAAGGCGGATTCAAACGACTGGTGTATTTGGCAAGTACACTATTATTTGTCTACTTCCTAAGTAGGCAAATAAAACGAGTTTTACAATTGCGATGGGAAGCAGTTCGCTCACACGACGTGTACAATTGACAAGTACATGAGCGTGAACAGGCATGGCAAGTATACGCAAGTATTCTTAAAAACCTTGACAACTTAATCGGTGGTGTGACAGTCACTATGGATAGAGGTCGTCCGGAAAATCTCGTTGTTGCTTCCGCAGCTTTTGTTGTGATGTGCTCTTCTTATTTAATTAAATTAAAAAAAGAGAAGAAGCTGGCGGATGGTATCGTTAAATAAAAGTCGGAACAGGTAAGTACTTGTATTTAAAATTAACTAAAACAGCATTGTAGATACAGAAACTGTAAAAAAAAATAAACAAATCTTTTTGTAGATACTGCTATATGTTGCAGGTTCTCAAATGAGAACCTTTATGTTCTTTATGTTTGTCATCCAAATGACCGGCTAATTTTATTAAAAATCAAAAACTGCAACACAACGTCATTTGTACACTCCATTTCTATTAAAAAAAAAAAAAACACACACACAAATAAAACGTTTGTACGCGCCTGAGGTCTTTGAAAATTAAATGAATACTGCCAATTACTCACTCATACATTTCGTCTAAGCGCCTCTGTAAGTATACATAAGTATGTTCTTCGCAAGTTAACGAATAATCGTGATCCTTTTGACTCGGATCATTTTAACCGACAACATATGGAAAACCAACGAGTGGCAATGACTGACAAATTGTAAAAATTGTACGAATTGTACAAATTGTACGAATAACCCACTCACAAGTATACGCAAGTGACGATTATCTGCCAAGTACACGAGTCGTCCGCCTTTACAGTGTTAAGTGACGATTAAGTACCAACAACAAATATATTTTCTTACAACCCCTGATTTTTTACTACTCAGCGACTCATTTCACTATTATATTTGTTTCTTAGACTTTTAGCCCAGAATAATTTTACAAGAACACATATAAAGATATAACACTTAATAACTTGGGGTAAAACTCGACAACTTAGTGGATAGAAATAGTCCATAATAAATACCATCAATACCATTGTATCGGTGCTTCAAATCTCAGAAAATGCAAGAATGTTAATATTGTTCTAAAACAAGAATGTTAAATTACCAAAGAATCCATAAATCATATATAAATCGTATAATATTACCAAATGAACTTAAATTGAAGAATATACTCGTTTGGCACGACACTAAATAAAACATATGATAGAGCTAATATTTTGATTTAGAACTGGATTAAGAAGCCGGACCTGCGTGCTGATTATTGTTAGTGTGGAAAATTTTAATTTGTATATATTTAAGATATCGAAAGGTTGTACGGTTTGTATACAACTGTAAATCTGTTTAAAAGAGTTAAAAGTGAATTAATATTATATAACCAGAAAATATTAACTTGCAAAATATGTATAAAAGTATGTAATATAAAATTATGGGATTGTAATAGCGGGAGATAAAAACGTCTTATAAATAGTTAATAGACACGATACACTGACTATCAGATCATAATAGTTAATTAAAAATTTTTATTACTGGTTTTTGATTGCATTTTAATGGCAATACT